AACTCAAATTTAAAGAAGGAGAAACTCAAATTTAAATGAGAGCAACCCAAATTAAATGAGAGCAAATATGACCATTGAATTTTTAAAAGAGGGTGAAATCTTACAATTAAAGATTTGAGTAAGGATTTGAGTATCGTTTGATTTGAGTAAAAAATTGAGTCTTCTTTAATTTGGTATAAGTTTGAGTCAAAGTTGGAGCAAGTTTTTTTATACTTTTTTACTCAAATTTAAAGTTGAGTCTAAATTTGAATAGGGTTGGAGATATCCTAATGCACACTAATTACATATAACGGGCCTTTCACGTATACCCGATAGGTGATTTATCACTTAGCTAGTAAAATTGAAAGAAAATATAATAGAGATGATTTAAATCTCTCATTCAAAATGTTGTTTAAAATAAATTCAAGATTGTGATCCTTCTCATCACATTTTCGCTCAATTCTACTTGATGATAGATCAATTTCAAGTATAATCCAATTTTAATAAGTTGGACTCTCACTTGTACACGAGTTGGGTGTCTTTGTTTGCTAGATAACATTTCTTGGTATTGGCAAATGCTATCCATGTCAAACCTATCCAAAGAAAATTAACACCGGTATTAAGTGCAAATTCAATACTACCTCTTGGTTGTTTGAGTATCAAGGGATTAAGTGAGACCTACAACAAAAGAAAATGTCATGTGATTTTTTTCTGGTAAAAAGAAATTTTTAACCTTAGATATTATATGGGGATGTGTACAAAAGGGTATTGTGGACATTTTATAACTTATACCGTCAATGGGAATAATATTGCTCCATTATACCACCTAATAGGTGATATTGAATATATTCATGTACATGGTTATATCGTTACTATAGAAACCGGGTCGGGACAAGGACCTGAAAAACAGTATTGAGTTTAAATTACAAAATAAATAGGTTCTAGCTGGAAAATGGTGAAAAAAGAAAGAAAGATAAATTTTTTAAATTTTTTATGTGTTTGGTTAGCATAAAAAGGAAAATGATTGAAAAAATAATTTTCTTTCATGCTTGAATTTTCTCACAAATAAATAAATTTTTTTTTCTTGAAAAAAATACAAGGAAATGTAAAAAAATTGTGATCTATAGCTAACTTCTCATTTTACCCTTATTTTTCTTAAAATATTTTATTAGTTATTAATTTAAAAAAAATTGGTATGAATTTGATTAATAATATAATTTAACTCAAAGACCTTTGTGTTGATAATTGTCTTAGAATTAAGTTTCGAGGGACGTTTTAAAATTTTGTAACTTACAATTATAATTACATATATTTTTTTTAGACCCATTTTATATAATTAAGGATAATTTAGACAATTATAAAACAATTCTTATAATTTTACTTTCTTTTAAATAATATAATAAATTTGTTTTAAAAAATTTCCTGTAAATTTTTCATTCTAATTTAATACACTCATGGAAATATATTTTTATCATTTTTTTTTCTTTCACTTTACTTTCTATAATTTTCATTTTCTATAATTTTTTTCTTCCTAACCAAACAGATCCATAACATATAAGTGGACTTCACGTCCTAATTTACTCTATCTCACCTCTTAATATCCCATATATTTGGCAAACAAACACACCTGAGAAGTTAGGTATAGCATTAAGTAAAATAAAAAAAAGTATAAGGGAGAAGATTGAAGACCAATGAAACTCATATATATGCACACGAATACACCATTTTGATCAGAAAAATGCGCATCACGGAACAGTGAAAAAAAAATGCAATAATGTCTACTAAAACTAGATTAAAAAAAATGCATACTGAAAAAGAAAAAACTATGTAAAATTTGATTTTAAGCAGTTATCAATTGTTTTTCGTCTATGGAATATTTATCGTTTATGAATTTCTTAGTTTTGACATAAATGATCTATTTTTGACCGAATTAAAAAAAAATTAATCGAAATACATCTAATCTAATTGAGACAGTTTTAATCATAATACCTTTAAAAAAAAAAAAAAGGACAAAATCTGTCTCATGATTGGAGGCTTGAAAAGACACCATTTTCTTAACTGGTGACATAGAATTACTTTCGCCGAGCAGGATGGTTTAGTGATACCGATCATACATTTCGCCTAAGAGTTTGAATCCGGGAGTGTCTGTTAAGGCTATGGTAGCCCAGTTACGTCTGATCTTGAAAAATTTGTCAAAATTTGATATAATATGATTGATCGATACGAATTAAGTAGATTTGGGTGAGATCTTAACGAGTTTGGGTGGTAAACGAGTTGACTCGTTAGACACGTTTAATAAATGAGTCGTGTTCGAGTGAGACCTGTCAAGCCGTTTGTCACACGTTTATCAGTTTAAATAAAATTAATATAAAAATAAATTATTAATTGTTTAAAAAATTAGCCATAAAAAAAGAAGTAAAGAAATCAATATAACAAAAAAAAGTAATGTAGTAGTTCAACAAAGGAGGGGAGATGGAGAACAATTCATGATAAAGACAAACTAACCCCTTTTATTTTTGTTCCACATTGGCAAATTAGTGCAGATGGGGAGGGTTGTCTTGCCTATAAAAAATAATGGTCTCTTCCTTTTTTGTTAGCCTTTAAGTCTGATTTTTATGTCAGATTTGACTACAAATTCCTCTTTTTTGAGGTAAATATAGTTGACAGGAAAAAAAATGGAGTATTAAAATTTGTTGATATAATTTTTTTTAATATAAAATTGGTTAAACGAGTCATGTCGTATTATTCGTTTATTAAATGGGCTGTGTTTGTGTTAATATTTTTTATTCATTTATTAAATATATCGTGTATGAATTTATATATTTTTCAAGTGGTCGCTAGACATACTTTCTTGTTTCCACCTTTTTTTTCAAAAAAAAAAAACACAGAGTTACCTTGCGAAAAGGAAAAAAAAAAAAAAAAAAAAGAGCATAAAAGTGCTTGCCGTGTCTGAAAAGAAAAAGGACAAAAACAGGACATATACGTCGCTTCTTGTTAACTCCAATGATTTGTGATTAACAGAATAAAGTTCTTCCAATACAACCGTTAAAGTTACTGGGTAATAGTTAGTAAACATTCACCTCAATCATAATATAAACACTTCCTGGTATAGCAAGCAGGATAGACAGATAGAGAGACACACAACTAAACTTGCAGACATGTTTTTTTATTATTTTATTCTAATCCTCGTATCATCTTTGTTCTCCCCATCACCCTCAAATGCCCATGCATGCAGTGAGGCCTTCAATGAAATGGCCTTAACCAAAAACTTTTCAAAGTGCAAGAAATTACATGCTTTGCGAGCTGAATTCGCCTGGAAAAATCACCAAAATGACCCCCAAACAATCGATATATTCATCGGAACAAAGCTTCATTCTGATGTGGGGTGGTTTGCTTGGGGGGTAAACCCAGGAAAAATACCACAAATGGTTGGAACCAGAGCCCTCATTGGCATTAAACACCCAAACGGGTCCTTAACAATTAACACTTACAAGGTTACAGGTGGTACCAAGTTGGGTTGTCGGCTACTACCTTCAGAGATTGATGTGAAAGTTCGACATATGAGCCCTCTTTATCTAGATCAGAATGGGTACTTCGCCATTTCTGCAACACTGGTTCTTCCATTGGCGTATAACGTTTCAAGGTTAAACCATGTTTGGCAGGTAGGATATGCTGTCGCCGGGACGGTTCCGAAAATGCACCAGAGGACTCTACAGAACTTTGCGAGCACTGCTACGATAGACTTGACCTCTGCCCGTGGTCGGAGCGTAAGCAGAGTCGGAATACACCGGCGTGACATGAGAATGGTAAGTGGGTTTTTTTTTGACATAGGCAAAATTGGAAAATGTTATTTGAACCTAATTTGGGAATCTTATCGAGATATTTAATTCAATATAATTATTGAATTGATTATGAGTTCCATTTAATATTAAAATTCATAACTAATTCAATGATTGCATTGAAATCATATCATTAGATCCTCAAATTAAATTCCAAAATAAAATTCTTATAGCATTATTCGTCAAAATTTATTTTAGAGCAACGGTGTGGGACGTAATTTATTATAATAATTGGATTAATGGTAAACTTTATTAAATATTAAAATTTAGTGTTAATTTGACTGTTATAATGAAATTTCATTATTAGATTGTAGATTAGGTTAAATTTTTAAGTCTTAAAAGTATTACTCTTTATTTTATGTATACCTGCTCGATTTAGAGGATTGTTATTGGGCCTAATTTGTTGACCCAATATAAGCAATGTTATATGAACCTTATTGTTATCATTATCTGTCATTAGATTGACAATGAACCTCACTATTAATTAGGACCAATAACAATTCATAACTATAATTCATAATGTCACCAAGTAAGATCATTAAAGTAGGTATAAATAGCATTTCTCAATTCATTTTAGTCATTGGATTGATTGTGGATCCCATCAAATATTAAAACTCGGTATTTATCCAACAATTACAATAAAATTATTTCATTAGATCAGATTTTTAGGTTCTAATAACATTACTCCTATGATAAAAATCAACAACTATATATAAATATAATAAAATACAATTAAATTCAAATCTCAAAAGATAAACAAAATTATTTTTATTTTTTGTGGTTAAAATCTCTTTAAATTTAATTTTAAAGTGAATCCGACGGTTAATATTAGCACCTCAAATTTAATAGAAAAAATAGACTCTTCAAGTTTTGTTAAAGATAACTTTATAAATGTATTTTTAGGATTTATAATTTCTCATAAACACTTTAAAAAAAAAAGTAGTGTTTGGAACCGTCCTACCTCCACCACTACCACTGCAACCGCCACCGCCACCCCACCATCGCAACCCCCATTGCCCTACCACCATCATCATCATCGCCATTAACATTATCAACCCCGCTGCTGCCACTCTACCTTTCCCCCCACCACCACCCTACCCTTTCCCCTACACTTACCCCTACCCCCACCCCCACTACCATCACTACCGCCATTCCACTACCACTTCTTTACCAACAATCACCACCATCGTCCTACCATCACCCCCATCCCACCACCACTGCCATTGTTCCACCATCATTCCTACTATCACCAGCGTTGTCGTCAACTTACCACCAATGCCACTATTCCACCATCACCCCCTACCAGCACCACCTCCATCACTCCACCATTACCATCACTGTTACCACTCACAGCTGCCACCATCATCAACAGTCGTTGTCATCCATTACAATTATCACCGTCTCTCACAATCATTATTGTCACCCACCACCACTATCACTGCTCACTCTCACCATAATTGATGTTTAAATTCCTTTCTCTCTCTTCTATCTTTGTAAGTTGATTTTGGGTGTGAATATAAATATATTTATCATTTACCATTTTTTAATTATTTTGTGCCTTCACCATTGATTATTCAATTATTAATTATTTTGTGCCCTCTCTCTCTTCTATCTTTGTAATTTAATTTTGGGTGTGAATATAAATATATTTATCTTTTACTATTTTATATATATATATATATTAGTTATTTCCTGTGCCTGAAGGAACAAAATTTATGTCATTTTTTGTTGATTTTTATCATACAACCATTTTTTTCTATCATTTTAAAATTTAATTATTTAATCTACATCAAATTCTTTTATAATTATATATAGTTAGGATGGTGCTGTGTGGAGTTAATGTAACTGGACTTGCGTCAGATTCATTTATTAGGTATTAACAAATTCATCCATCCATTTAAACATTTAAAACATGTGAGAACAAAATTTCAACTTGCTAATTCTCTATCCATTTCGTGTTTGTCGATTGTGTTTAAAATTGCTAGATTTAATAATCGTAGGCCATAAATGAAATGTGGTGGAAGATTTTGTTGATGGGGAGTGGCTTTGAGTTTGTTGCAGATTCATGGGATACTGAACATTTTAGGTTGGGGAACACTGTTGCCCATTGGTGTGATTATTGCAAGGTATTTCAATAGATATCCATTGCCTTCCAAGAGGTGGTTTGCTTTCCATGTATTCTGTCAGACTACTGGATATATGCTTGGCACTGCTGGCTGGGGCATTGGACTATGGCTTGGAAGCACTTCCACTAATTACCATTTCCCCACTCACCGACTTCTAGCAATCTTCATATTCACCTTCACTACTGTACAAGTAACTCTCTCTCTCTCTCGGCTTGAGATGGAATGCATATTTTAGGGGATTATTAGACCATCCCTAATAAAAACTCAAACTTTTACCTAAATTTGAGTAAAAAAAAAGATAAAAAGCTTAATTTGGTATAGACCTCTCCAATGAAAAACCCAAATTTAAATGAAGAGAAACCCAAATTTAAAAGAGGGTTAAATATAATCATTGAATTTTTAAAAGAATGTGTAATCTCACCATTAAAAATTTGAGTTTAAAAAAAGATCTCTTCATCAGGTATGGGTATATGTCTAGCATTGGAAAAATATTTTAGACTATTTTTACCTAAATTTAAATTTGAATATAAAAAAAGATAAGAACCGAAGATGCTCTTACTGGATTTGACCCTTTATAAGGATACAATGGGCTCTTTGGAGCTGATATTTTTAGGTGAAAATTTTCAATTTAAAAAATTTTGCAAAAAATTCAGAGTTAAAAAAACTCACAAAATTGTTTGCAGTGTATTTCAAAAAGCTGAAAAACTTGAAAAAGTCCGTTTGGATTGACGAGTCCATTTGCAAGTGCCATTTGGTTTGACTTTTTAGTTTTTTTGGATCAAAATAAAAAATTAATTACATGTATGTATATGTTATGCATAATAATTCCCAAAATATGAATTTCAATTTTTTTTATGTCACTAATAATATTTTTATGAATATAAGAAACTAAAAAGTTATATGAGCTCCACTACCAAACTCCAAAAAGGGGAGAAAAACTTATAAAATTAAATTCTTAAATCAATTGAATACAATTTTTTAAGTCTAAAAAATTATTGCATAAGCGGATAAAAAAGTCAAGGTCCAAACGAACTTGACTTATTTTACTCCAAAACTCTTAAAAATTACCAATTTAAACTAGCTCCAAATATACCTAATTTTATTACTCTTGTGTGATTCAGGTGTTGGCGTTACGATTTAGACCCATAAAACTAGATGAATACCGCACATACTGGAACATGTACCATCATTTTTTGGGCTATGGTCTGCTTGCGGTGATCATAACCAACATATTTCAAGGGATTAAGATCCTCAAACCAGACAATTCATGGAAATGGGCATATACAGGACTCCTTGGCCTTCTAGCCTCCACTGCTCTAGCATTTGAAATCTCTACCTGGATTAAGTTCATTCGCAGAGATAAAAGCGGGAAGGAAACTAAAACGCAGTCCCTGCCAAGTCAAGGGTCAGGTGAAACTCCTCTACGGACTCAAGCCAAGTAAAACCTCAGATAAGAAGCTAAGACACGTATTCATATTCGATGTATGAGGTTATGGGTTTTGATTTTGCTCTTTGCCAGATCTTATACTCGTTTGGACTGTACTGCCTATGTTATGCCTATCTTTGGGGATGTCATGTTTAAAGTAAAATAATTTTGAGACCAAAAATAATTGCGACATTTAAAGAAATTTTACGTGACGGCATCGTCTATAATCCACGTGCATTTATGGGAGAAATGAATCATTCTTTCCCTATTCTTTTGCGAGATGACAAACAATTGATTTAGATCTCCTTTAATATACTTCTTAGTGAGTTGGACACCTAATTATTGTCTGGTGAAACCAGTTTAGCTCAACAATACTACTTGAATTGAACATAAAAAGTAACATTAAACATTAAAAAATGTTACAAGGTTTGGATTTGATCATGGTAGCCCGATTCCTTACAAACTTCAATATTCACTGTTTCTAAGAATTCTCTATATATTTTAGGACTAACAACTCATTCAAAAATGTTCGAAATCCTGTGAAGTTCACCTCAATAAGACACGCCATGCAACGAGGCGTTTCCTCTTGATGAAATAAAAATCCATGAGACCCCATCTACTGTAGATCTAAATAATAATGTCATTGATATTATAATAAATCATTATATTTTAGTACATGATTAAGGCGGTTCAACACAAATTGGGGTTTAAATCGAGAATTTCACATGAGAACTCAAGTAATGTTTAGGATCATAATACGAAATATATGATATGATTATTAGACATTTTGCAAAGAGTTGTTGTGTGATATAGTTTTAATTTTTTTAGTGGTTTTGGGATCATACAGGATCAAATGATAAAATGGGTGCAAATTGTAAAGTCGGGATCATACAGACAAATAAATTGATTTGAGTCTTAGAAAGAGAGTAAGAGATTTAGAGAAAAGGACAAAAGGTCAAAGCAAAGACAAAGAGAGTAGAAGGGAGAGAAAAACTTGAACAGAGGCGATGAGGGTGGAGAGAAAGAGAGTGAAAGGAATTTGAGAGAGATTGCTACTTTAAAATTAGAAGTAGATACATTTTAGATTTTTTAGAAGGTTTTGTTACATTTTAAGCTTTTTAGAAGCATTTCATTATATTTTAGGCCTTTTTAGAAGGTTTTACGTACACTTGTAAAATTTATTGGAACTTTAAACTTGGTCCATTCAAAGGACCTTAGAACCAGGGGTGGCTTAAGACAGTTTAAGGCCTAAAGCAAAAATATTAAATAAGACATTTCTTTATTTTTAATATTAATTTTTTACAAAATTAATTTGTTTTTAATATTATTTTTTTAAAAAAATTAATTTATTTTTAATATTAAATTTAAGTGTCTATTGTTATGAATTGGATCATGTACCCAAATTATTACAATAAAAATTTTAATTGTATTTAATTTTTTGGAGCCTTTTTTTGGGATTTAAACTTTAAAGTATTTAATTTTTTTAGGTTAATAGTGTACCTAAAGTTATGGGGCCTAAAGCCTAAGTTTTTTTTTTTTAATGTTGGTGAGCCCCCCCCCCCCCCCCCCCCTCCCCCCTTAGAACATTGAGTTGAGGTTGAAAATTTAATTAGAGTCCTAAAATTTTGGGCCTAGGTGACTATTTTAATGGTCTAGTCCTAGGGCAGCTAGCCTTGTTGGGTGTCTGTAATTAACCCATGATTAGCTCAAATTAAGCCAAGATATAAATAAACTCTGATACCAAGTTGTGATGCTTCAAATCGCGAAAGTCATAAACACACGTTAAGCCTTGTTAATTATCCCAAGGCATTGATCCCGACAGACTAATTCCAATGGACATTCGACAAAGTCTCCTGTATATGAGAAGCTTTATGCAAAACCCAAATTGTGTTCTAACTAACACAATGACCATTTCAAGGTCCAATACTAATGTCTAAGAATTAAACATCAACCAACAAGCCTCAATGTAACAACATACATTTGTCATAAGAATAAATACATAAAGTCCCTCAATATGCAAGCCTTCTTTCCAAAAGAATATACAAGTTTTGTATAACCAAAACACAAGGCTTAAAGTAAATACAGTGGGACCTATACATCTATACATCAAGATGAATATCAGGGCTTCAGCTCCGTCATTAAGCCGGACCCATGGGAGGGCTATCTATAGAAGCGTGAGTACCTGAAAAATGTTGCCACAACGGGGTGAGCCGAAACTTAGTAGGGTATCTCCTATAAAAAATACCTCATAATCTCAATGCATATGCTATAAATGCATTTTATCAAGCCAACCATATATCACAACTAACATAGAAATGATACCATGTCCAACACCGAACCCACCCACCAGGTTCCCATGCACGACACATGATACAATGTCATGTTATGAATCGGAAATTTTAAGTCCCCGGCATTGATGTTATACACATTTAATGACCATTTATCAATTCTTTGTGTCTTTATTGGGTAGATAATTGATTCACATTTCACCAATGAGCTACCTAATCGACATTGCATTTTGAGGGCATCCTATCTCTGGTTTTGCATACATCGACACACTATTTTGAAATTTCATTGCCGGAAAGTAAATAAACCAAATAACCAGGTCTTGCATCCGAGGGCGAATCTAATCATTTTTGCTATCCCCGACACCTTATTCATGCAATGTCCTGTGACTCTCAATTGGACCTTAGTGTATTTTGCCCGAACTCACCTGTCAACTCACTTAGGTGGTGATTGACCCTATCTCATGCACACACACTCACACTTATGTTAATGCCCACGAATATAGTGCAACTTGTGCATATGCAATGTAATGTACAATTACAATTCCATTCAATTATAATGCTAATTATATCATGAGGCATATAGTGACATTCCATAACCATCACCAAACATGTTATATTTATTACTAACTCAAATAACACACTTGCATATACTTATATTTTATCAAACACCTAAAGAGCATAATATAAACACATAGTATTCCCATTCATATCACACATACTTAACATGTTCAACACCCAAAATTAAGTAGAAATTGGTTTACATATTCATCAATTCACAAGCCTCTCACTAGTTACACTAGTTATATGGTAGATATGTAAATATTCGACATAACACTACCCATACAACTAGAAATTATAAGTAATCCTAACTAGGACGAAACTCTAACCTCTTGTAGCGTAAATAAAGAAAAAAAATCTTCAAAAATGCCCAAAAGAAGTTCCTCAACGCCCTAGCGCCAACCCTTGATTTCTGAAATTTGGGGAAATAATTAAAATTGGTGTTATCGGTTACCCTCGTTGAATAAAGAGACTTTTTGTTTTTGGTTGATGAAGATCCAATGATTGGATCTTAAGATATGGGAGGAAGAAGAAGGAGAAGTTGAATAACTCAAAACCTTTCTCTCTTTCATAAATTTGCAAGAGGAAATGGGTGAGAAAATCTGTTTTTTTTTTTCACTTTAACTCCCTTTTTTATACTTGGTGTACAATGTGCCAAATGTTAGCTTTTCTATTAGTTGGCAATCCAAGAAAGCCAATCACAATGTGCCACTTGTCTACTTGGATAAAATTAGTTGACTAGTCTTTTAATTATATTGTGGGTCCCGCGAATAAAACCTAAGTCACTGGAGCGTCATTTGATTATCGTTTTGCCTCGTTTTATGTGAAAATTCTGATTATTTCAGAATTCAATGAAAAGTGACTAGCTTACTCGATTTCGCAAGACGAATCCAATGATGAGGTCCATTATATCATCTGAGTTCTATAAAAGTTTAGGTATTCGACCCGTACTTTAACGGTTAATTATCATTTTTTCCCTTTAATTAAGATTTTAATTTTTCTCGAGTTTTACATTCTCCTCCCTTAAGGGAATTTTGTCCCAAAATTACACACATAGGCACATGTAACATGGATGCATATGCAACATGTTATATATTATGCCATGACTACAAGAAATATACCTCTATCTTCAAATAGGAACGGATAGGTAGTGTGGATAGTGTCCTTAAGCTCCCATGTCACCTCTTCCATACCACGGTGTTGTCACAACACCTTCACTAACCTCACAGTCTTACCATGCAAAACTTGATCTCGACTATTCATGATACACACCAGTTTCTCTTTGAAGATCCCATCTATATCAACAATCAACTAACATCAATCCATTACATGTATAGGATCTAGGGTGTACTTTCAAAGTATAGAGAGACATGGAACACTACGTGAATACCCGATTTATTTAGCAGTAATGTCAACCGATAAACAACTATACCAACCATCTCGAGTATCTCAAAGAGCCCAATAATCTTCAGTGACAACTTTTCTCGCTTTTCGAATTTAACCACTATTTTCTTAGGCATGACTTTTAAGAAGACGTGATCTTCAACCTCGAACTCTAGAGGTCTTTGCCGCCTGTCGACGTTGCTTTTCTATTGGCTCTAGGCCGTGAGAAGACACTTTCATATCATGTCCACCTTCTCTAAGGTGTCCTGAACCCGTAGAAAGTCCCTCTCCAACCTCTGTCTAACAGACCAGAGAACGACACGATCTCTCATACAATGCCTCTTAGGGTGTCATCTGTATACTCACATGATAACTGTTGTTGTAGACAAATTCTACTAAAGGTAAGTGATCTTCCCAACTACCCTCGAAGTCAAAAACACATGCCCGAAGCATATCCTCTAAAATCTGGATGGTCCTTTCTAACTGACTGTCCGTCTGGAGATGAAAAGTTGTACTCATCATCAACTGTGTCCCCAAAGCTCATCGAAAGCTCCCCCAGAAATAAGCCGTGAACCTTAGATCCTGATCCAATACTATAGATACGGGTACCCCATATAACTGGACTATCTCTCATATGTATAACCTACAGAACTACTTCAATGTGAAGGTCATCTACATAGTCAAAGAGTGTATCGATTTCGTAAGTTAGTCCACTATCACTCATACCACGTTGTGCCCATGTGTAGTCCATCATAAGTGGGTTACAAAATCTATAGTGACATGCTATCACTTCCACTCAACCACCTCCAAAGGCTGGAGTAACTCTGCTAGTCTCTAATACTCAGTCTTAATCTGCTAACACGTAAGATATCTACTAACAAAATCTACGACGTGTCTATTCATTCCTCTCCAATAATATTGATAGTAAAAATCATGATACATTTTAGTGCTGTCGGGATGTACTGCGAATCTAGAGCAATGAAACTCCCTTAATACAAGAGAT